ATACGCATTGTTTTTTTGTCAAATGCAACAACCGAAAGAAAAACGAATCTACCATCGCAACGCTAATCGACAACATGCGCATCCGCACGCCAAGTTATCGCCCAGTCAATTCGTTTGACACTCGACGTTCATCAATACACAGCGACACATTCATCAAATTGTTGCCGACTACTCGAGTTGCACAAGTTGCTGACACTGGCAGCGTTGTCAATTTCACCGCGAGTACTTGGCTACTGCTGATGCTGCCATTTCCGCGCAATGAAGTGAGTTGATCTGCTGCTGCTCCTTCGTTTGCCTGCCTGCCACGCCAATGTTCGCCTGCCAACAATCAATTTGTTTGTGTGTGCGTAATTATTTGAACAATTTACGGTCTACCAATTGCATTGCATTCTTTGCCATCCCCAAAGCGAAAAAGGGGAAAATCAAATGCAGCCAAGTGATCATGAGGATCGCGGCATGCAACAGCAAATGTGGAAAAGGGGGGTGGTAAGTAATTTTGAGGCGAGTAACTTCCAGCGTTCATACCGAACACACTTTTCCTGCTTTTTCTCTATTTTCTTAAGAATGCGTTTTTTCCTCATAGCCGCTGCAGCCCGAACATACATATGTATGCATGCGTGTATGTACTTTTTTTGCAACAGCAGATCTTCTTCCCGTTTACTTCTCTGTTAGCCAATTGTGACAGTTGCTCGTAAATTTTCATTCAGAGTGACGCTGACGTTGCTGCATGGGCGTTGAATGCATTTGTAGGCTGCGTGTTTTTTTTTTTTGAATGCAATTTTGTTTTGCTAGCTGCTTGTTGTGATCGCAACGCTCGCTCGCACGTAGGCGCTGACATTTTCCGTTGTCATCGTTGACTGCTGTCGGCGGCAGCACAGCGCAATTGCAGCGGTAAATTAAAGTGGCAAATAATTATGTTAACTTGCATGTAATTGGCAATTTTTATTGTTGAAATGTACAAATTTATAGCATTCAATCTGCTTGTTTTTTGTTTTTTGTTTTTCGTTTTTTGCTACTTGTTTCCTGTATGTCGGATGTGCCACAGAGGCATTGTTGTTGCTGTTGGTATAAATGTCAAGTTAATCGGCAATTGAATTGACGATATTTTATACGGACCCTTCCAAGCTTTGATCTTAAATGGTACATAAGGCGCATTAGGGGTTAGAATGGCCTTTTCTCTATAGGTGAAATGCGGGTTTCTACCTTTTCCTCGACTTTGCAACTTCCGTTGCTGCAGTGGCCATTATACTGCGAGCTAAACCTGACTGTCATGTGGCCGATGGCACGGTGTCCTGTTAGTATTTCCCTAGGACATTTCTTGTTTTCCGCTCATCGAGCTATGGTCAGAGTGACCGCGATTTTCCAAATGTGCTCAGATTTGTCCACTTCTGTTAGTGGCTGCTCTGACCTTCTCGACGGCTTGCAGGCGAATAAAAGGTGCTTGAGGAACCCGCCTACAGCTGTAGGCCTACTAACAGGCACATAGTCATCGGAACCAATGCAATGACTTCTGCAGGAGCTGCAGAGACAAATATGAGCCTGAGATCCTAAAGCACCTGGTATGCGAATGTCAAGCACTCTGGAGAAGAAGAAATAAATTCATGAGTTCTGAATTTCTCGAGGATATAGGCGACTAATCCAAATTTGATAAACGTCAGCTGCTAAGCTTTGTAGAATCTACACGATGGTTCGAGTAGGTGGGATTCACAATCCGCGTCGTATCACAGCGGGCCCAAATAAAGGGTTTAGGAGTACTAGTGTGATCATTAGCAGCCGCCTAAACCTTCCCGTACCTAACCTATGTAGTTGCAGCACAGTTCAGAAGAAATTTACATGTCGTCGTTCGTCTAAAGTACAAAACCGCGTTGTCTCTTTTATCAAACGAACTTAGTTCAGGCTAACTTCATAAATACATTTTAATCCGACTACTATTTTTATTGGGAAATGAGCTTCTGGTGAGCAAACAAATTTTTTGACACAAATATCAGTTTCGCGGTTTTGCACTTTAAACGGTGATATATATAGGTGGAATATTCAGGAAGGTCTCTAATTCCAACAACAGCAGCGATCGGGTCTCTCCTCTTACATATAGACATGCGGAGCTTCGCTGAGCAGATGCGCCTTCCACCAAACCAACGTGGCCCCAGTCTTTCTTAAGTCCTAATTATGCTCTTACAGAAGTAAAGCACGTCAAGTAATGATTTTATTCTCCGTTTTTCGACATTCATTTTCCAAAAACGTCGGTATAGATAGGTTTTACAAGGATCCACAATAGAATATTTAAATCTCTAAATTGCTTCCTTGTAGGAAAGCCAACAATATACTTTCTCCTTTAAGAGACTTCACGTCTCATGCCAGATTGTACCAATCAATTTTAAATTTATCAGGCTGTTTAAATTTAAAATTACACAATTTTGTTCTGAAAATACGAGAGCAACGAGAGTTCACGTTCCTGAAGGTAAACTCTGCCATGGCGCAAGGACCATCTTCCTGCCCCACCGTCAGCAATCCTTTAGAGAACATGGACGGATCCACAATCTTGTGATTGTTTCGTTCATTCTAAGACGTCTGATCGCAGAGCTTATAGAGCCAAAAGTAGCGTTATCAAACGGGAGAAAATTTAGATCTGGGGAAAAACTCGCGGCCCTCCTAATTTTACTATTTAACACTTTCTTCCTTTCCTAAATTATTGTACGGCGAACCAAACCATTTTAGTTAGCCAGATTCGTAACTGAAATCAGAACAAAGCTTTTATTTTTAACATCAAAAACCTACTGTTTCGAAACTATTTAGAAGGTGTTTTTATATTCGAAAGAAAAAAGCGTGCCAACCTTTATTTTATGAGATCAGATTCATATTAGGCGAAGCGACCCAAAATCCATAAGAGTTGACTAGTCTCGTTTGCCAGACATTTTCTTTCTGTGGGGCTGTTTTACCTGTAAATGCCAGCTATGATAGCCAATGAGCCAATGAGCCAACATTCCTGTCATTAATGTCGATTCCAAATTATTTAGCTATTTTTCTTAAGCATATCAAGACACAGCCAAACGAGTTAAAAGTGAAATTGACGAATAATGACTACGCAGAAGTATAATTAATATCGTATGGCTCGTGGCAGAAGAATTAACCTCAAGCGATTGTCAAGAGAACCGTTTGTCAGCGCAGCACCGCTCACCGCCGTGTTGACCTCATTAGCTGGAGTCGCAGACAAATTGTAGTGGGGGTACATGCTTACAAACATCAGTAATGTTGTAAGTAATTGTGGCTTAAACGATAATGCATTCTTTTAATGTTTTTTTATTATTGTTGTGGTTGCGGTTGCTGCTGTTTTAAGTAGAAGTTCAAGTAAATACGAAAGACAATTAATTGATCACTTGCAATACATCAAAGTAACACTTTGCACTGCTGTGGCTGCTGTTTGCTGTTTGAGGTGCTGCCTGTTTTGCTAGCGTTCGTACAGCTGTAGTAATTCATCAAAATCCACAAGAAGAGGTGTGTTTGTGGTAGAGCGAGCGATCGTTTGTTTAGTTCATCACCTGTGCGAGGTTGGTCAACGAGAAATACAGGTAGCTTGCACAATGCACGCGCCAACTGTGGCATCGATCACGATGGTATTTTTCATGGCTTAAGTACTTTGCTGATAGTTTTTCAGCCACATATGACACTAAAGGGTGTACCAAATGGTTTATTGCACTAAACTCTTGCATAATATGTAATAACGGTGCTAAAATTCCCCTGATTAACATATTCACACATACATACATCACGAAATATGTCCATAACCTATTTAATTAATTAAAAATAATTGGCACATTCACTTTAAATCAACGAATCGAGGAAAAAATACCAAATTTGTAGATGAAACAATAATCAAAATGCGGGAAGCTATATCCTTAAATACCTATTTTTTATGTAAATAATTCTTAAAGTTTTTCCCAAGTCCAATAACACCAAACCGTCAACTGACTTTTCTCGGAAATAGCGCTAACGATTTTTGTATTTTAAGGTTATCTAATTATTCTATTCGAAATTAGTTACAATTTAAATAAAGCATTCTAGTATGGGTTGAAAATGGAAGGTATTTTAAAAGTCCCAAAGGGTTACCACCTATTTTGAATCAAATATTTATTTTATTTTTTTTTTTTTTTAAATAAAGGTACAATATTACTATTCATGGATACCAAAAGAATGCTCTTAAACAATGCTTCGCCTATATACTAAGTGTTATCTTTTAGGATATTAATTTAAGGTGGCAACTTATTTTTGATTTTACAAAATTTAACGAAAGCATCGCAATATGGATATCGAAAGAAATGTATTTTTGATAACTTTAATTAGAAAATATTTTCGATGAGGTTTGCCGCGTTTTTTGTAAAACAAATTTGTATTTTATTAATTTTAATAAGTTACAAAGTACATATACGCTCAAGATATGTACAGTTCATCCAGCGTATTTCTAAATAGGGTTGCCAAATAATTTTCAAGTAAGAAATTTCCTTACATTAAAAATATCAAAAGCCAAATTTTAAAATTTATTTTCAAAATATTATTTTTAAAGCCAGTATTCAATACAAAAATCTTGAATCTTTAAAAGGCAATGTGAAAATTCGCATAGATTGGAAAACTGCCACGCTCAGTACAATAGTGAGCGCAAATGGTAACTTATTAGTCTGTTCCAATAGCAGTCCGGTTTACAGGATTTAGTCAGAACTTCCTATTGACATAAAACCTGTAAGTGGGAACACATTTGAGAGAGTAACTGAGCAACTGTTCCTAGTCAGAAGTTACAGGATTTAGTCCGGAGTATTTTTTCCTGTAAGTTCATGAAAAGTGTCAAACGATCAGCTGATTTACATGTGCAAACAAAA